ATGGAGACACGGCAAAACTAAAATCCGCCACCTCTTTAGGCATCAGCCTTCGAGTCATTCCAGTCACAAGCTCAGTCAAGTATACTACAGCCCAACTCGCACGTGGCTCACCCGAATCCTCATGAGTCGACACAGATCAAACTTTCACCCACTAAACTTGGCCTATCCTTCATTGATACCCTCGATTCGACCCCACCAAAAGAGTCTGAACCCGCTTCAACTCCTTCACTCGTTCATAATTCCCGTTCAACTCATTTGGAACTTTAAGTGTGGATCTTGGCCCTGAAAAGTAAATATTGGATGACCCATTGTGTTCATTAACATAAATGAGGTGTAGCAATAGAGCCGCAGAGGGAAGGGCATGTTTGGCTAGAAGAGGATTAATTTTAGGGAATGATGAAAAAGACGGGAAATGGCCATTGAAATTGACAGATTCTCCATCAGCGAGTTTGAGTTCATTTGTTGGGCCATGTAGCATGGGGCTATCAAGAACCTGCTTAGCAAGATGGAACAGCTTTAAAATCTGAGATAAAATTCTAAATTCTATGTAGATGTACATATCCCAGTTGTCCCAACTGTCCCACAAAGAAAAAGGTGGAGAAATCTATAGATGGAAAGATTACTGGAATTGTGTATAAAGAAACTCATAATCATCCTAAACCCTCACCCCACCCCACCTCCAGCGTTTTCAGCCTTTATGAGTGATCGATGCTGACAATTGGTGGTGATTGTTAGTGGTGGGTGGGTTTTGTTTTGGGGTGGGGGGTAGGGTGGGGTGGGGGTAGGAAAGAGAAGATGAACAGAGATTGGCTTTTGATTTTTTGTTTCTTGTTTTTCTTGTTTTTAAGTTTAATTCAAAATTACAATTTTATCCCTTTTAAAATTGGTCAAACTCAATTTAGACGGTCAAATTAATAGAAACCATCCATTTGGACCTCAGGTGTAAATTTTTTAAAGGTTTGGTACTCATAGCGGCACAAATGAAAGGTTTGACAAACTCTGTTAATAAACGAAAGGTTTGGTACCGCTGCTGCAATTTTTCCAAAAAAAATATTATTTTGGAAAAATTGCAACCAAGGGTCTAACTTATTGAAATTGAGCCGTCACTCTTTCATTTTTTATTATTGGGGTTACAAGATTTTGAATTGGCAGCCCTTTTGTTTGCGATGGACAAATTTGACGAGAGAATCTTCAGTAGGGCGATCGTACCAGTGGTGGTGCGACTACCATATCAGGGTGCGCCACCTCGGAGGGTGGCACCTTGGCATTCGACCGCCCCACTGAAGATTCTTCCATATTTGACTCACTTAGCCTGTTGAGGTTGTTGGAAAAAATTCTACTAAACACATCCGAAATAGAAAATACCAAAAATGAAATAAAAGATTAAAAAAATGAATTGAACATGGTTTGACAAATTATCAATAATCGTGGAAAGAGAGACTTTATTAATTAAGAAAAATCACTTAATACTATGTTTCACACCACTAATTGAGTACGTTTGTTTTCTATTTGGTTTGAATGAAAATATGATTTTAATCAAATAATCAATATTAACCACAATTTTCAACCACACATCTTAATAACTTTTGTTACAATCTACTGAAAAATCTAATTTTAGACCTCACCAAACACCCTCATAATATCTCACTTTTCTCTCCGAAGCTTCCTCTCTCTTGAGTAGATTCCTAGAATGCAAAATTCTATTTCTATCTCTGTCTTTCATACTGCAGTTAGTATCCATAGTCAATCAAAGAAATATAGCTGAATCAAGTTGAGCAGAGAAACATAAACGCAAAACCCTATCTCACTCTCTTCTTTGACGGAATCTTAATTTGATATTATATTTTAAGTGAATTTATTATTTAATATCATGTAATTGTCATCTAAATTAATATTTGACACCATTGGTGCCATTTTAATATGTTTTCGAGTGTTTATTGAACTTTAATACATTGTATTTCAAAATTCACTTACCATGTTTTACCGTTTTATAGTCTTTGAACTTCAAGAAATTTTCAAATGGTCATTGAATTCAACACGTTGCACTCTAACACTCAGTTATTATATTTCATTAGTCGTTGAACTTATACCTCTGGCACGCTTTACTTATCGAACTCTAAAATATATTCAAATGATCGCTAAATTTTACTTATTGAATTCAACTGCAAAAATTTAAAGTACAAAATATCATAGACGAAGATGATATCTTTCTTCCTCTTGAATAATCTTGTGGCAACACTAAAAATTATATTTTATTAATTTTGATCGATATTATTGATTATAAATCGAAAATTTCAGTTTCTATCTAAAATATAATTTTTTATTTTCGATTTTTCTCGACTCCAGCATGACATTAGGGGAGAAAATATGTATTCTTGAAAGAATTCGAACAATTTAGAATGCTGTTCACTTAAATTATGCTGGGAATGAGATGATAACAGGCTTGATGATCTAAGTAGAGAAAATAGGCAGTTCAATTTATTAATTTTATCTTTGTTACTTGAGAGTGTCAAAACAAAATGGACAAAAATATTTACTTATCGTCTGGCAAAATGCAAAACAATATAGATTTTGATTTTCCTCTTTGTTAAAAGATAGTAGAATAGATAGCAAGAACAAGCCAATTCATGAGGAGAAACAATGTTGGGTTCATTCTAAAAAGAGAAGAAAAAGGTAGAAAAAGAGAAATAGTACTTTTAAGTAAACGAAAAATAAGCTAAAAGTTAGCCCCTAAATCCTAATTGACTTATTTAAGAAAAGCATTGTACAATTTTAAGGTTTACCAAAAATCTTTCCAGCAATAATAGCAGCATTAATGACGTCTTTGATTACATGGACAACTTCATCAACTTTACATGTGTTTCCATTGAAAGTGGGAGATCCTGATTTCTTGAACCTGTCTACACAGTTGATGAATTCTTGATTGCATTGTTGGCTCAAATAACCTGGCACCATAACCACGTCAAAATAATATATCTTTTTTTTTTTTGGGAGAGGGGGGTGGAGGGGGGGAGGGGGCACAGATGCAACACAACTAGCTAGTTAAAATGCCAGTAACTTGAATCCATTTCTAACTACTTAAATTGCAGGAAATATGCTTTAACTTGAGGCTTAATTTGAGCAATCATGCTATACGGAGAGAATTTTTCGACAGAAGAATTTTACAGACAACATATGACGCGACATTATTGGAAGATGGAAAAAAGAGGAAAAACAGTCTACTTACATTTTGCCACGTCACTGTCGGTACAAGTTCTGTTATATTTTTCTTGTACTTGTGGCTTTATTGTAATTTGTGAGCTTCTAAACGATTTGGACATCTTCCACTAAATTATATCCCTTTGTCAAATTAGTATCGTATCAAAAAATACCCTACCGTTGTTGTGGACGAGATAACCTAAAAGGCTATTGTAAAAGATTGATTCCTAAAGACAACCTAATTGAATGCATCTTGAAAGTAAGTATTACAATTATGTTCAACATTGCAAAGTGACTACTTTGACTTGTAGGCAGCGACGGAGCCACATGGTGTCATGTGAGGACCATCGCTGTCACAAAATTTTGGAATTTCTATTTATTTTTTCTTTGAAATTTAAATTTGTATTCCTTCCTCCTTTGAGGGCCGGCACTTCTTTTCCCTAAAAACCGAAATATGATGTCAACAATTAATTTTCCATTTCTTCACAATACCTAGGGTTCACTCGTCGATATTGGTGCTGGCCTCACATTTTCAGCCGGGTGATGTTATACGTACATCAGATTGTTCATAACGGTATCCACTCTTCTCATATGGAGGGGGACTTACTTCAAATAAAATATAATTTATTCAAAGTGAATCCCCTTTCATGTAAGTGATGGACATTGTTATGAATATCGTATTATGTATAAATATTATATTCCTTTTCAGCCACTGGGCCATTTCTCTTCTCATCTCTCAAATTTCAAACCCACGGTTTTTGCAACTTACTTTTAGCTCTCAGTTCCACCACTACTTTTGGGCCTTATAACTAGCAGGACACACCCAATATTCTCTAATATTTTATTGGCTTAAAATTAAGAATAATGATAGGGTGAAAATAAATAATTGATCTGCTTTGTTGAAGTAGAAGTACTTACTGCCTTTAACTTGTACGCACTGATCGTGCTTCATACAACAAGCGTCTAAGCGGTCACAAGGCTGCTCCCCTGGACATCCACTGTACAGAAGTCCACAGTATTTTCCATATCTTAAGAATGGAGGCACTGCAAAACAACAAAATTAAATTCCAAACTTTGATGCGCACACTTATTTCCAAATCCTCAAAATTATAAATTGTTTGAAACAGCACAGAACTTTGATTCACATATTCTACTGCATTCTTTACTCTACAAAAAAGGAAAAAGCAAAAATAAAAATAAAAATAAAAAATTGTTATAAACTACAATTTTCTGTCGAAACTGAAAAAGGCTGTCTGGTTGAGGAAGATGAAGAAGAACTAACCAAAGAGATGTCTCCATTTGCATGAATGCCAATGTTAAGGGCATGGAATGGAACAGCAAAAAAGACAAGGCTAGTGATAATGAAGAAGAAGAAGAAGAAGAAAAATGGAGCTAACTTCAATGACTGTGTAGGGGAAGCCATTGAAGAAGAAAACACTGAAAAATGGAAACTTGGTTTTGATTAAAAGCTCTGATTTTTAAAGGAAGAAATAATGGATGACGGAGGGAGAAAAGTGTGAAAGGGATTGACCGAGTGTAGGTAAATAATTGCCCTGTAACGTCTCGTGACATGATTTTGTAGTCTTGTGTTGCTCACATTTCTCACCCAACTGAATTATAAGCTTTTAGAATAAGTCACAAGTGTGAATTATAAAAAAATTGTAGAAATACATGCATAGGCATTATCTGATATAATTTATTATTGTTATTTGTTTCATTTTGAAAAATTACAAAGACGTGTCCTGAATTTTATTTTGCATAATATATTCTGCTCTAATTTACAACTTTAAAAAGTTTAAAAAGGAATCCATCATGCACAACAAACATAAAGGTTCAATCAATATTGTTACATATATAAGACTTAAGTGCTTGTTTGTCATAACTTTTTCAAACTTATAAGCTGGTCAAATATTATTTCTGAACTTTTATCTTTATCTACACATTCAATAGTTACAACAACTTATAATCTATAAAAAGTTTTACTAAATATACTTTTAGTCTAAACTTTGAGGTATTGGTTCTGTCTTGAATTGTCTTTAGGTGGACACGTTATTGGTTGCATTTTGCTATTGGGAAAATCTATTGTTTAATTGAATTACTGTTCTGAAAATTATGGAGTTCGTAGATCCAAGTCTTAAAATTGTTAATCACAAGGAGTTGTGATAGTGAGAAACAAATTACATATGACTGAATCTCAAATTATCCGTGATCGTAAGTAATAATGAAATACGGATAGATCAGCGAGTGTGACATTTCTCATTCATCAAATGAGTAGTTGATCTTACCAGCAAAAATGTAGTGACATTTAAATGGACGTATGAATATTTTGTTATGAGAACAAAATATTCGAGCCTTGCCTTGTTAGGCTGTTTTCAACGGGTCGGTCTTGATGCCGAGAAGGAGTTGTTTGACCCCTAAGAGGCCGTATTAGTCTATGTCGAATAAGAGCTCTCCCCTCGAGGCGAGGTAAATACGACTAGCCAGAGTAGGAGCTCCACAACGGGAATTCGCCGCTGGGAAATTCACACGAAAGGGAACGAGGAATTCTCAAAGAAAATAGTGCTCTCTGAACCGAACGTGAAAGTCGTTTTAAAATATTCGAGATCGGTTGGAGAGATTCCACATGGATAATTATCTAAATGTCAGTGATTAATCTCTAACATTCAGTAGTGAAATTGATCATTTGACTTGAGATCCTCATAGTGCCTTATATGGGGATCATCATGCTTTAGTGATATTGAATGTTGCTTTGCGAAAAGTCTAATACGATATCGTTCGAGTATGTCAAGAATAATATGAAGGTTGTAAATGATGAATAGAAAATTCCCCACTCTTGGATAATTATGATCTACATATCATTTAGCTAAGTTAATAATGAAATATTTGGCCAATGTGTTCAACTTATATTAACTTAATTGTAGAATGAAAAATATGATCAATAATCGAAATTGACAGACATTCATATTTCGTAATGGATCTGATCATATTGACGAATGAATTGTAACTTTACGATACATGAAAAAGTTTGGTTTTGTCATATCAAGTTATATTTTTTGTTACATGTATTACACTGACAAATTGTTGGATGTCAATTTGGGATGACAGATGTGAGTTGCCTAAAAATAAAAAGGGACATTTTAGTTCATCTTTTATGATTATATCAAAGTAATAATTCACTTCGTCAGGTATCGTGATCGGGAATCTAATAGGTCACCCACGAAAAGGAGAACTGGAAGAATGATGTCAATAATTAATTAATTAACAAGTGTTAGGTCACTAATTAATTAATTAACAAGTGTTGGAGATTTGTACAATTAATTAATTGGATTACTTATTAATGTGTCAAATGAATTAATTAATTATAGACAATGTTTAATTAAACATTGGATCAGGTTTGAATTTAAGTGACGAATCAAGTCCTCTTGAACTTCTATTAATAAATTATTAGGTTTGAAAAACATATATGCAACACACATTTATTATCTTGTTAGTACAAGAAAAGAGAAGCTCTAATTCTTTCATTATTGTTCTCTGTGTAGATTTTCATCGGAGGTTGAACAATTAAATAGCTGTGGATTGTAGATCAGAATTGTTCTTCGCAAAATTAACTAAATGTATAGTTTTTATCATAGTTTCTTTCTAAATAGAAAGTTTGGGAGAAACCTAATATTGTTTAAATTCCGTTGTTAAGGTAATTACAAATAGCAATTCCTTGCCATGGTTGCTATTATCCTTGTCTCTTATGTAAGAGGGCTAAATGGCAGTCACAAATGTTTAGCTAACATCGTTTTTGTCTTTGTTCCCTGGGATTAATTGGTCGCTTCAAACTTTTATGCTCAAAGCCACCACGTGAGGTGTGTTAGTTCTTAGGATCTTCCAAAGTCTTGAAAATGACATGAAAAAAATATTTTATTTCATAACTTATTTTATTCTGTAACGTAGAGTCACTAATTATGATAAGGCCGAACTTGTGCTAATTATAAGCAGGATGAAGAGAACAACATATATAAAAAGTATATTACTCTTTGCTTTAATAGTGTCAAGATTATACTACAGCCCGTCCGTCTGCCCCCAAATCCATTTAAAAAAAAAATTAGTGATTTTTTTTTTTTACTGTATTAGCCCGTGTTCATGCCGGAAGCTGGATCCACCAGTGATTATATCCGTACTTGACCACCCTTCATGTTGAATTTCTTTATAGATAGCTTTATCCTTTTTAAGTTTGCGCATGTTGTGTACAAGAAAAATGGCATAATGCCATCTGATTTTAGAATTTTTTTTGTCTAAAACTTGTCATTTTACGTCCACAACCTTTACTTCGTGTTGCATAACAGTTCCTCAGCACGTAATATCAATTGTGCGATAAAACTCCAAACTAGGTGTATTAATTTGGCTCGCTGATTCGGACCGACCATGGCTCGACTTGAGGCAAGGGTCAACAACCCAAAATCGAGGCTCGACCCATTTTGGGGTGTCGGCCTGAGCCCAAGCCAACCTAGGCAAGCTCGTCACAAAAAATAAACTTTTTTTTAAAAAAAAATAGCTACAGACATCTACACCAACTGCTTGTAAAGCGGCCAGCATTAGCTGCCTGCGCTTTATTAATAATAAAAAAAAGTGTGAACTGACTCGACTCGATAATGTCCAATCAAAAGCTTAGGTCAATCCTATATTTTTTGGTCGAGCAAAAGCTCATCGGACTCGAAAAAAACTCGCACCGTTTTACTCGAGTCGAGCCCGAGCCTTGAGTTTGGATCGCGAGCCTACTTAGATCAGCTCGACTCTTTGACATCTCTATCCCAAACTTCATTCGTCATTGCACGCTTAATCCTTCACCTTTACGTATATTTGCACGCATTGCTCACTCTTTAACAAAAAAGTCAGTTAACCCAACAGCAACAGCAAGAAAAAACGAAAGAAAAGAGTAGAGAGATGAAGATTCATTCGGCAAGGACTCGACTTGGACAATTACAACATCTGAAACTTGATGTTAACTAAAACCAAAACACCCACGCTATAAACAATGCTACTAAAAGACCAATCCAAAAAAAGTATGTTGAGGTTTTCAAGCCGGTCTTCACCTTTAGTTTTTCTTCAAAAAACTTACTCTGCAGCACTAATCTTCTCATTTGGGCCTCTAACATCTTGATCCGTCCCTCTAATCTCTGGATCTCTGCTTCCATGCCCTTCACGTGTAGTTGTAATTCGTTAACTTTGACTAATCCTCGCATTAACCTCAGCAGCCCATGAGCCACTTTCTTTGACCAGTCACACATAGATGGACCAAAACACAAAATCTCACCACTTCGATTTTCCTGCAAGAACAAAGCTTGGATTTTGTAGTAACATTTTCAACAAAACAGGTTCTACGTACGCACCAAACGATGGAGTTACCTGCTGTCCACAAATAAAGAATCTTGTGGCTGGGTTCGTATTGGTCCGTGAAGTCTTCAGATCCGTTTGATTTTCACATGTACATATCCTCCCTTCGATGGATTCGCTATCGACAATTGACTGATGAAGGGATGAGTTAGCATTTTCTAATGGATGCAATGAAAGAGAAGCCATTAACAAAGAGTAGCCTGCCAATGGGACCATAACTGTCAAATTTTCAATACGATACATCATACATAAATTACGAAGGAAGCAAAAAGGAGAGAGAATGGTTTTATGTGGGTGAACTGTTGGAAAAAATTCCAACTTAGGGGCCACACATGTACATTTATTAGAATGTGTGGTGCTATTTTAAAGTAAATATAGTCGAAAACAGTTTTGACAAAAAGAGGTCAACAAACCCATTTAACAGAAGTTTTTAGATGAAACCATACAAAAGTGCGACCTTAATAAATAATGATAGGTTGAGGGTTAAAACCTGCCATAAAAGAAGGATGATTTTGCCCAGAAAACTATTTAAGTAGCATGTCAATTTGCTTTTCTTGTGTGTCTGAAAGAATAGGGGTGGGGTGGGGTTTTATATGGCTGCTAGAGAAATACGTACAAAGATATAAAACTCACTACGCTACCCACCGAAGGCTGCAACGATGAAGAAGCAGAACAAAAGAGGAAGAAAGGTAGTCTTGTTGCAATCAAGAAGTTTAGCCATATCTATATACTTAATTTCAAGTACTTGTGATGATATGAAAGCAAAAAATATGTATTTATACATGGAAAAAGCCATTACTCAACTGAATTTTTATGTTTTTATTTTATCTTTTTTTATTTCAACTTGTCTTCAAGAGCGATAGCAAAAACTAATTGAAAACGAGATGTATTTTAAAAAAATGGCATCTAAATTGTTCGTCATATAAGCGATGACCTTTTCGTATAACTATATTAATTTCTGCAATAATTAACATGTAACAAAATGGTAATTACTGGCTGATCATAGCAAATTTGACTGAGTTTGCAGGTGATTGATAGGCATAATATGGTTTATAGGTTAAATATAATCTACGATAAGAATAACAAAATTTGGGCTTGGCATTCACCAAAATTGCAGTAATTGTTAATCTTAAATATGCCTAATTGTAAAATTATTACTAGTTTTTTCTTAATTAAATTAAGAGTATGTTGGACTGACATGAAAAATATCATCTAGAAAAGAAAATATTTTCCTTATTTTGAGGAAAATAAAAACCACCACCACCCAAGGAAAATATTTTCCTTAAAAATAAGGAAAATTAGGCATATTTTCAAAAGTTGGAAAATGTTTTCCATGAAAAAAAAATAGCAATCAAACACTCCAAGTAGGAATTTGAGTAGAAAACTGATATTTTTCATTAAAAATAAATGTAATCAAACACACCATAAGTTAAACTTCTCACGAATCGTGCTTCATTAAATTTACTTTGAGCCTGAACTTTGCTCTCAAAACTAAAGCGTAACCCTCGAAAAAACCTTGCCAAATTAATAAATAAAATTCTCAAAATTAATAACAAGCATGAAATGGCTCATAATATATTTCGGCTAAGAGACAATGTACATAACAAATTTTTTTAGGTTATTTGTTAAGATAAATGAAGAGAAAACGATACCAATATGTAAAATAATAATAATACTAATAATAATAAATAAAATAAAATACTACGAACATGTCATGAAAGTGATTATAACATACAATAAGTATTAAAATACAAAATCAAAGTTTTGAAATTTCATCTCGACAGTGATTATATGTTCATTGTCATTGTGAGCAGTACATTGGGAAATCAAGGATTCTTTAAAATCTTCTACTTTCTATTAAACTAAAATATTTTATGGGTAAATTGCAGCAAAGGTCCAAACCTTTCTATTTTTATATTTTTCCCAACTTTTTTTTAACATATGTGTCCCTTACATTCGATAAATTGATGGCATTAATTCAAATATATTGATTCTATTCATTTTTTCGTTAGTCAACCTTTTTTATTAGAAAATTGAAAAGGTAAAATAATCATTTCATTATTTTTAATTCAAATAATAAAAAACAAAAATTACCACTACAGCAACACCACAAACCGTCCGAAACGTTTGCTACAATATACCTTAATTTTATTTATCTTCAAAACAACCTGTAGGCTGCCTGTATTTTTTATTTTTTTGAGCTGAATCGAATAATAAAGAATAAATCTTTGCTGCCAAATTTAAATTGAATTTGAACAATTGTACTTTATAGAATTATCAGCTTGTTTTGTTCCATTTTTTGTCCAAAATTTATTTTGGAATAATATTTGGTTTGCGTGTAATATTATTTTATTGAAAAACGTATTTTGTAAAAACTTTTATTAGCTAATATTTGATTTAGTTAAAAAGTTAATAAAAATTTAAATTACAGTAAAAGATTAATTTTAATTATGTATTTTATGAAATTCACTACTTTCATCTACTTTTCTAGTATACATTTCATTAACTTTTATTAAAACCTACATAAAAATCTTATTTTTAACAAAAACAAATGAGGACTTAACGTTTCAATCTCAAGCAAATATTGATGTAACACATTAGCTACTCGATTTAGTAATTGTACTCCATGATTTATCATGTTTGTGCTAGAATTATTGGATCTCACTTTAGTAATCATGGCTCGATTCTAAGGTTAATGTTCCAAGTTAGCCATAGATGAATTCTTCTATCCTTTTATGATTTTTTTTTATTTTTTTTTTCTCCATCATGTTTGCATTAGCTTATTTCAATTTATTGTAACAATTGCAGTAGTGGAATGGGTGCTTGATGTTATTGTAGCAAGTGATTTTTTTGGAGTAATTATATTTACATCACATATTTATTTGTCGTACTACATTTTAATTGTACTAAACGTTTACAGTATTTCCTCATTGTAACACTTATATTCCCAACTTATTTTCATCGTATTCCTATCCTTAACCTTCAATTAATTAGTATGTCTTATTCATCATGACGATTTTTGTCCAAATATTTAGTTGGTTTGTTTTAAAATAAAAGATAAATATTTTGCTGAACTTTTATAGTTGATGATTCCTTTTCTAAGTTAAAAATATAATGGACGTATGAGTCTTTATATGCATTGGCGGGCCTACACAAGGTCCTAGTGGGTCACTTGATCAACTAGCTTCAAGTTGGTCTCTGGGCTTTCCTTTTTTTTTTTTTTTTTTTTTAAAAAAAAATTAAAAAACCAACAATTAGAATTGGGCAATAATGGTAGTTGGGCTTTTTTTATTAAAATAGAGTTTCAACAATGATCGAACAATTGAGAGAGTGAGAGTTGAAATTATATTGTTATTTGTGATATTTAATTTGAAATTTTTTAAAAAAAAATTTCATCGTGAACACGTGAGATTATTTGAAATTTTTTGGGAATTGTTATTTATAATACATATGAGATTTGTAAATCTATGATAATAATAATGTGTCTGTATTTTTGTAGAATACATAAATTTTTTTTGTAACTTTTTAATAAATTTAATTGTGCCTCACTAACTCCAAATATCTACGTCCGCCACTGCCTCCTTAACGAAATTATTTATTTATTTTTTAAATGGAAACAATAATCACGAACAAAACATGTTAATTTTAGAGGGTTAATGATAAAAATTAGACGAAAAAAGCTTGTAACATAATTGTGACAATGAGTTAATCTGGAGATATTCATTGTAAATACGATGTGTTGCGTCAAATAAAAATTGTGATATTTATATGATTATCTTATTATCGAAAGCTTTAGTTTTGGGAAATTTACAATATACATCCTATATATAAGGGATAACTATAATTTGCATACTGTATTTTGTAAATTTACGTACTACATTTGGCATGAGATATTATAGTTACTTTATCTATAACGCTGATAATGAACTCTCCAGAAAGTAAAGTCATCTATCCCAGAGCTTATGATTGCAAAGAAGACCTAGTCCGATTAAATCTTTATTCATATATAACTAGCCAATATCTAATATTACATATACATTTCTTTTTTTCCCTAAAGTAAACCAAGCATTCATATATTGACTTCCCTTTTCGAATCAAAATTAATCCATTTCTTAGGAATCCCAGTTTTAATAAATTCTTTCCACTGCTTTAAACATAAATATGATATCTTTCCATACCGCATGAATAGCAGCTAGTTGAGGACTCCATTTGCTAGTCACCAAAAATGCCATTTGTTGAAAGATTTACAAATTTATCATTATAAATAGCTAAATAGACAAAAATATCATTGGCTGAAATGACGAATCACACCTAACATATTATGTTGATACAACATTTTGAACACTATATTCTTAATTATTATTTTTCATTAAATATTTGTCTTTAGTGGATTTTTTTTATAAGATTGTAAGATTTATTATCATCTTTTTCCTAAACTCTAACCTCAAATCAATAAATTAATTTTAGAAAGTTAATAAAATATCCAAAAATTAGATAGCATTTCCCGATTACTATATTCTAATTTTTAATTTAGCAATAGAATTGCTATTTGTAGCTTTGTTTGAGAGTTCGCGTTGTTTTGTTTTGTACAATGGGAATAAAGTAGTTCACAACTTCACAAGCCAACTTCTTTTGCTACTATTATTTTAATAGTTTATTATTGAGTTGACTGTATTCCTCCTTATATCTCAACATGTTTTTGCCATAATTTTTAATGCATTTATGGATGAAAAATGTAGAAAATAAATATTATTTAACTTTTTAAGAGTTGTTGGGTATTTAACTTTTTAAGAGTTGTTGGGGATTTGACATATTACCGTTTGAATAAAGAAGGTATTACGATTCTGTGGAGGGACTCTACTTCAATAATCCAATACGATTCAATAATAATGATGGGACGATGTTTGTATATAATAGTTAATTATATTTACATAGAGTAAATTTAACCAATAATCACTGAACTTTACACTTAATTACTACTTGCTCACTCATTTTTCACAGATTACTGAATGCTCACTCATCTTTTCATATAATTACTCATTCACCACTCGTCTCTTCAAATAATTGGGCGACTTTTACGGCAAATTTTCGGCTACTTCCGACCACAAAGAATGTCGAATTTTGATACCGTTGGAAAGCCCACGATATCCTCTTCAATTACCACCCAAAATCTCATTATAACTCCAAGGGATTCGATCGAAAATTGCCTTAAAAGTTGCTCAAAATTTTTGAAAATCTGCCCAAATTTTCAGTTTTTTTGGGCCACTTTTAAGGCAATTTTTCGGCAACTTTCGACCATCAAAACTATTAAATTTTGATACCATTGGAAAGCCCACAATATCCTCTTCAATTACCATCCAAAATTTTTCCATAACTCCAAAGGATTCGGTCGGAATAAACCCACAAAATCAGCATCTTGAAAAAGCGAAAATCTGGACAAAGTTCGGGATGCTGAATTTGTGAGTTTATTCCGACCGAATCCTTTGGAGTTATCGAGAAATTTTGGGTGGAAATTGAAGAGGACATTGTAGGCTTTCCAATGGTATCAAAATTAGATAGTTTTGATGGTCGAAAGTTGCTGAAAAATTGCCTTAAAAGTCGCCCAAAAAATCTGAAAATCTAGACAGATTTTCAGAATTTTTGGGCGACTTTTAAGGCAATTTTCGATCGAATCTCTTGGAGTTATAATGAGATTTTGGGTGGTAATTGAAGAGGACATCGTGGGCT